GTCTCAACACACTTCGCAGAATATACTGTAACCTGGTGGGGTGGGGTGGGAGAGAGAGCATGCCCGACTTGACCAAGGGAGAAGGCGAGGAGCGGAGTGGGGAGCTATGAGGAACTCAAGAGATGTAGCAAGGAAATAACAAGGCAAATGAATATGAGCTCCAACCAATAGAAGGACTCGAGATGAAGCTCTCAAAACATTCACGTGCAGACGCGCACACACACACACACACGCGCGCGCAAAAAGGTTTAATGATGCAACAAAGAAGAAATTAACATTTAACTACCAAGACGGGAAGATTACCGAGGGAAGGGCACAGTAACTAAGGGAGCTCACAGAGCCAGAAAAACTGTGATTGCACTGTTTTGGTCTCGAGAGCTTTGAGGAGAAGATGGAAGTGATATGGGTTATCGGCAAGTGAATCAAGCAAGCACGTCCCCTTCTGTGTTACATTGTCCACTGCACCGTAACTAATATGGTCCCTGGTCTACAGTAATTGTTGGAAAATATGCTATTATCCATGATTGTTCTCCGCGTACGGTTTGAGCCGTGTTTCAGGAGCTAAACTTTTGAAATACCGCCTCTTATTCCTCTTTCTCTCTTCACAGGTGAGTCTGCCCCAAACCCTTTCCCACCGCAACTCTCTTCCCCAAGCGTGCAGTGCAATGGCTCGCAGCCCACACACAGGGCCAGAATGTGCACAGGCATCCTCCCTCACCCCGCTCCACCAAACAACAACCCATCACTTCAGAGCTGCATTGCCGGAGGTGCCGTTCTTCGGGTGAGACTCTAAACCGTAAAGTCCCGTCTGTGCCTTTTTGATCGGACATTAAAGATCCCATTGCGCTATTCAAAAATAGATGGGTGTCCTGCCCAATAATCCCCCAGATTAAAATAGATCATTCACTTCGTAGCTGTTTACGGGATGTTGCAAATTGGCTTCTGTTTTCGCATCGAAAATACACAGTCACTGACAAATTATAATCTTTGCATTTGATCTCGCGCCTTATCAAGTCGTTGTGACGTCTCACAGCGTTTCACAGAATACATTGCAAAGTGAATTGACTGTATATTTTGTGGGCAAAAAGCGACAGCCAATTGCACACAGCAGTGTCCACAAACAGTCGTGGATTGAGTGACCAAATTATTAATTTTTATTTATTTTAATGAAGGCTTATTAACCCGGAAAATGATCTGCCAATCGACTAACAACCAGGTTCCTATTTGCTGCTAGGTAAACAGAAGCTTGTGTAGTTAAGAAACTTGCTTAATGTTTTGCCCTACCTAGGAATCAAACCCAGGTCCTCTCGCTTGTGAGGCGAGCATGCTAGCCACTAAACTACAGGACTCCACGAACACTTTACAGCATATCCAGTGAAGCACTTTGAGACAACAACAAATTAAATTTATATAGCGCATTTCCCGGACAATAAAAAGGGCCTTTCATGTCAGGAGAAGCCATCCAAATGTGAGGATTATTTTAAATCAATGCCCCGACTGACTGAGAGGTAAGTGTCGCCTTGCTCAAAGCACAGAGGTCGCCATCAATATAACAGACAGGTGGAAAATTTGCGCTGCTTTTAAAGGCACTCAGTATAATGTGCACCTCACTCTAACACAATGCAGCTTTCCCAAGTATGTCACTACAGCCAGAGCAGAGTCTATTACTAAATGAGAATGCTCATATATGGTCAACTACATGGCAAGTATTGATCCTGCTCTCTGATCCATCTTTAAATTATTCAGTTTTTTTTAAAACCGAGCTTCCTGTTGCCTTCCAATATTTTGTGATGTCAACCGTAAGTGGTACAATAACGCCACGGTGCTTATTCCCTGACTATTCCTCCCCCACCAACCTCCCACCACCATCCTCGGAGCATAACCCTGCAAGCCAAAGCCCTAACAGATAGGGTGGTCCTAGCTGGACAAGCAGCGGGAAAGCTTGCCAGACAGCGATATCAATGGCAAGCTATGCGGTCTTAGCTGGTTAGACTCCAGCAGTTACCCCAAAGCACAATCGCCAAGCATTGGCTCTTGCCAACCTGCGCCTAATACTTTCCGGAATTAGGTAAGCAGGATGCGTCTCTCCAGGGAGAGAGTGCAGCAATCTATCTCTGGGATTTCCATGTGTAGGTGGATTGCATGGAAATCTCAGTTTGGGTTGGATACTCTCAAACCTGGTGATGAATTTCTGTGTGTGTCAGACACTTGGCTGACGAAAATGTTTTTAAAAATCCTTGGCGCTGAATTGGAAAGATCGAGATGGATATACCTCCTTGAGTGAACACGACAATAACCCTGAAATGATCAAGAACCTCCTTCCTGGCCTGTCAAACTCAACAACAAACAGCACCCTCAGTTGCACCCCACTGCTGTGTTTCTAACTCCAATGGTCAAAGCACCGAGCACTTGCTTATGTTGTACCAGAAACCAGACCCCTGAGATCGTAAGCATCAGGTCACACTGAGCACACACTGTTGTTTCCCCCACCGTACACAAACACACCCCACACACACACTACACACACACACACACACCATACACACACACAATACACACACACCACACACACACACCACACATATCATCACCACTTTACGTTGATCAGTACAATGTGTAAACTTTTCATTTCAGGGATTGAAGACGGCAAACAAGCAGGACTGGCAAACGGATCGAGTAACAAATCTCTGCAGAATCAGTCCTCTTGGACAGACGACAGGCAATCGCGCTGTTGTTAATTATTTAAGGGAGGGGTGAGGGAAGCAGATTTTTTTTCACGTAATGCATTCGTCATCAAAATATGACTCTGGAATTTTTACCTGTTTACTGAGTTGACTTCAGCAGATGTTTTAACTGTGGTTAGTTGGTTAACTAATAACCAAATATATCAAAACGTACCTCTTTGCCCCACGCTTTTGGTCATCCTTCCACTTTCCACCTCCTTTGAGACTCAGTTGGCATTGCTCTCATCTCTGAGTCAGGAGGTCATTGAACTCACACAGTCCAGGCCAGATATCCAGTGCAGTGCTGGGGATGGGGGGGAATGGAGTTGCATTGTCGGATGTGCCGTCCTTCTCATAAGACGTTAAACTGACGTGCCGTCTGTGCCTGTTTGGGCGGACATTATAGATCCCACGGTGCTATTCAAAAAGAGAAGAGAGTTTCTCCCGGAGCCCTGGCCGACAATCACCCAAATAAAATGGATCACTCACTCTCTGTGCCTGGGACATTGCTGTTTTCCTATTCGGCTGCTGCGTTAGCCTACAAGAGCAGTACTTTGCATTATAACCTGTGAAGCTTGTTCAGACGTCCTCTTGACGTCAAAGGCATTCCATCAAATGCAAGGATTATTATTATTATTATTACATGATGACTCTCCTCCCACCATCCCCTCCCCTCCTCACTTGATGCTAAGGCTGCAGCTGGGAGCTGTACGTTGCAATGTAAAGGAGGATATCAAATGATTTTTCGCCTGCAAGGTCACAGGAGAGCAATATTTAACAACACGCCTGCAACTCCTTTGGAAGTGAAATCAGATGGAAGTGATACAAAAAGGCTGCTGGAGGCCAGAATTGGAGTGCATTGAGGGGGTGGGAGAGAAGAGAAGATGGAGAATGGGGACTGGGAGGAGTGGGGGGAAATAGTTTTTTTTTAAAAACAGGATATCCTTCCCCCCCCCCCCTTCCTTCTCCTCCTCACTCTCTCCTTTCCTCCCTCCAGTTATTGCAAGTCCCTTGAGCCCTTCAACAACAACAACTTGCATTTATATAGCCAGCCCCTCACGCAGGGTTGTGTCCACAGCGCTTAATAGTGGCGGAGAACGATGCCAAGCCAGATGGGTAGTGGGACGGGGAACGTAAGCAAGGTCAAAGACGAAAGTCCTCAGGTGCAACCTGAGGATGAAGAAGGAAGGGGCAAAGCGGAGGGATAGAGGAAGAGTGTTCCAGAGTTTGGTGCGTAGCGGCTGAAAGCACGACCACCAATGGTGGAACCGAGGGCCCGAGGGGCGTGCAGAAGACTGGAGCAGGTCGAGTGGAAGCAGCGGGTAGTGGGTTGGGGGGGAGTAAGCAGGTCGGAGAGGTAGGGAGGTACCAGGAGGTACCGTGAGGGGATTTGAAAAACGAGTGTGAGGATCTTGAAATTGATCAATTCGGTGATAGGGAGCCAGTGGAGCCTGGCTAGAACTGGTGTGATGGGGTTTAGTACGGGTGAGTATGTGGGTGGCAGAGTTTTGGATCAGTTGGATCCTGTGCATGGTGGATCTGGGGAGACCGGCAAAGAGGACATTTGAGAAGTCGAGTCAGGAGGTGACGAACACATGGACATTAAAACATTCCTGAGTCTTAAAACAGCTCAATGGGTGCAAATGTTGCGAGACCCATTTGAGAAGGCAACCATGTAGATGTGTCTTGCCCCGCACTGCAGCTCAAACATTAATAGTGATAACAATAACATAGTTTATCATTAATAATAATAATCCTTGCATTTCAGGTAATGCCTTTCACATTGGCAGGACTTCTCAAAAGCAATTCACAGCATTTCCTGCAACGTGTATTTGTAGAAGAACGTGGCAGCCAGTTTGCGCACAGCAACGTCCCGCAAATAGCCATGGAGTGAGTGACCAATTTTATTTGGGGTATTGTCAGCCAGGACACCAGTAGAGAGGAACTCCCTTCCCTTTTCGAATAGCACCGCATGATCTTTACCGTCCACCTGAATAGGCACAGATGGGACCTCGGTTTAACGTCTCAGCCAACGGACAGCACCTCCAACAAAGCAAGGTGCCCCCCACCCCGCCCCAGCACTTCATTGGAATGTCAGCTTAGCCTATGCGAGTTCAACTTGAGGCTTGACCCCACAACCTTCCGGCTGAGAGGTGAGAGCGCCACTGACTGAGCCAGGCTGACACTTGATGTGAAAAACAGGGGATGGAGGATGCATGCTACCTTTGTCAAATCCAACCGAGTGTGTTCGCATTTACGAAGTCATGTGGCACTTACCGTGAGGTGCTGAAACAACCACGCCCGCATGATGTTTGTGGCTACTTTGGGGAAGATCCCACGCTTTTTCTGACGCTTTTTCTCCTTGTCTGGGTCATCGTCGTCGCCCGTGCTGGGGGAGGCTACGCTGTTGTCCAGGCCGTCACCTGCACCCAAGCATCAAAGAGTCAGGTTTAAGGCAGGATTTTGAAAGGTGGATTTTTTTTATTAATTATTATTTCCTAAATAATAATAATAACCATCCCCGCACTCGATAATGGCTCCTTTCACTTCGGGATGATGCCTCAAAGCGCTTCCCAGGATTTACTGGAAAGCACAGTGACTGTGTGTTTTGAGGGCAAATGCGGCAGCCAATTTGCACACATCAATGTCCCCACAAACAGCCATAGAGAGTAGGCGCATAGACCAGAGGTAGAATTTCAGAGAGTGAGGGAGGGGAGGGGGGCCTGAGTGGCTGAAAGCTCACCACGCTTATTGTAGGGGGGTTTGGGGGTNGGGGGGGGAGGGAAACGGGAGGAGGAGATGGGAGAAATGACAGACATAAAGCTGGCCTTGAGTTGAGGGAGCAATAGGGGTAAGCAGAGAGATCAGAACATGACCAGTACAGGCACAGGCCAAATGGTTGCACAATACAGGGTCTAACAATGTCTGTGTCGGGACTAACACTGCTTGAGAATGTTGGGGAATTGGACCAAACATGACCGAGGCTGGTTTTGCAGCTCCCTTTAATCCTACACACACGGATGCGGATCTAAACACAATTAACAATGCAGTGTTTGTAACTCCTAAGTAGCTGAATGATAAAAGATACCACCTGCACTTATGAACCAAGTTATATATCATTAATACTTCCAAAAATATTTCCAAAGCATTTACCATACGGTTCCCACTCAACTGCTCGGTGGAAAATGACAAGAGGAGAGGTGGAGGGAGAATGGAGAATAATAATAACAATATTTACATTTGATATAGTGCCTAGTCGTGTCGTTGAGACGTCTCAAAGCGCTTCACAGAAGATATTGTAAAGTGAATTGCCCTTGTATTTTGTGGGCGAAACGTGGCAGCCAATTGCACACAGCAGTGTCCCATAAACAGTCGTGGATCTGTTGTTTTTGAGGGATTATTACCCCCAAAGGGATCTGCCAATGAACTAACATACTGCTACGTAAACTGAGGTGTGTGGAGTAAGGAAACTTGCCTAAGGTTTTGCCCTGCCCGTGAATCAAACCTGGGTCCACTTGTTCGCGAGGCAAGCAGACTTATCACTATGCTCTGGTACTCCACATAATAATCATTACATTTGATAAAGCGCCTTCCACGTCTCAAAGGGTTTCCACATCTGAAATGGTTTCACAAGATACACTATAAAGTGCAGTGACTATGTGTTTTGTGGGTAAACATAGCAGCCAATTTGCGCACAGAGACATCCCACAAAACATCCTCAAATCAACAACTGATTTTATTGGGGCAGATGTTGGCCAAGTCACAGCTGGACACATCTCAAATAAACAACTGTTGATCTTGTTTTGGTTTTATAAACTGTTTGCATTAAGTGCTGTACGCGAAATAATATACATCTTGCCAATAATTCTGCCGCTACATATTGTTTTGAAATGTCTTTTTCACTTTTTTTTACACAAACAGTAGTGGAAATCTGGAACTCTCTCCCCCCCCCAAAGGCTGCGGATGCTGAATCAATCCAAATTTTCAAGATTGAGGATGATTGATTTGTGTTAGATCAGGGTATTAAGGATATAGAGCAAAAGGCGAGTAAATGGAGTTGAGGAACAGATCGGCAATGATCTAGTAGAATATAATAATATAATAATAACCCTTGCATTTGATACAGTGCTTTTCACGTCTTCTCGACGTCTTAAAAGGGCTTCACAGAATAGACTGTAAAGTGAATTGACTGTCTATTTGTGGGCAAACGCGGCAGCCAATTGCGCACAGCAGTGTGCCACAAACAGTCGTGGATTGAAAATGACCAATTTATCATTTTTTTTGTTTTGGAGGGATTATTATTAAGCGTGTGGAGTAAGGAAACTCACACAATATATATAGAATAATCCTTACATTTGATATAGTGCCTTATCACGTCGTTGAGACGTCTCAAAGCGGATTGACTTTACTTTTGAGGGCGAAATGCAGCAGCCAAATGTGCACAAACAGTCGTGTATTCAGTTACCAATTTTTTTTTTCTTTTTTGAAGGGATTGTTACCCCCGGAAAGCAATCCACCAATCGACTAACAACCGGGTTCCTACTTACTGCTGGGTAAGCAGAGGCATGTGGAGTAACAAAACTTGCCTAAGGTTTCAAACCCAGGTCCACTCGTTTGAGAGATGAGTGCGCTAACCAGACAGAGCTGCATCTTACAACCAGGAGCACCCAGTCGGTACTGAGTTGTTGGGAGGGGAAGAGGCTAAATTAGCCCTGACTTTCCCAGGGAAAGGGAGGGGAAAACCAGGAAGGATTCCTGCTCCTGGTCCCTTTGCAACACCCTCTAGTGTTAGTAGCGGAGGGCAGAGGTAAAGGCTCTTTCTGCTGGGGCAAACTCATGTAAACTTGGGGGATAACCAGAGGGGAGGCCAAGACCAGAGGCAGAGGGGAGGCCAAGACCAGGGGCAGAGAGGAAGCCAAGACTAGGGGCAGAGGGGAGGCCAAGACCAGGGGCAGAGGAGAGACCAAGACCAGGGGTAGAGAGATACGTACCTCCCTGTGGAAAGGGGAGAGAAATAGAAAAATAACTGGAAACACTAAAACTAACAGCAAAAAGCATTTGGAATAACTGCTAGGTTTCTATTCTGACCACAATGTCAAAGCCACAAAGGTAGAAATGGAAATGCCACGGCAGTGAATGGGAATGGGTTGGTGGGGGGGGGGGGAGTTAGAACTATACAGTTGTCCCAGTGCAGAGTAGCTCATATTGCATGTGACCTATATTACTCCTGACCTGGGAGTAATGGGAGGCTGACAATGGGCTCAAATTAAATAACGTCTGATTTGTTCAGCGCTGTTGTTCACTCACCCTCATGGTCATTAAACACACATACACACACGTACACGCTCCCTCCCGCCATAACCCTATAACATTTTAAGAATGAATTACGCACGAGTGGTAATAAGTTCTACTTCGGAGCTGATACAATACAATGCTCTCAGTAGTACTATCAGTGAACGACGAGAGATGGGATAGGGTGGGGGGGGGGGGAGGCGGTGTGAGGGGGAGAAGAAAGGAAGGTGGGGGGGGTTTTAAGAGGCACAATCCTGCCTGTTTTTATCTGAAAGCTGAGCAATTTATTAGCTCGAGAAGCGACTTGTGAAAGAATCGTGATTCGTTAAAAGATATTCGTTCATATCTCAACGGGAGGCGCAGGCGGTAGGAGTGCAGGAAATGCGGGGCAGGGGAGGGGGCCCAACTTTCTCACATCTACCTTCATTTGCAGGTTATTAAACACATCAAGTGAAGTTCTGGATACATATTATTGATTAAAATTGCAATAGCCTCAGGACGCAATTACATGTCCCTATTCTCCCCCACCTACCCCACTCACACAAAATGCTCAGGCCCCCCCCCCCACACACACACATATTAATATCGACGCATCAACTGCCCTCTTTACATACACTTTCCATTTGCTCCGAGACAGAAAAAAAAACCTTCAGATTCATTTGCTCGTAATGCCCACCGCCTGACTAGAGAAGGAGTCATTGATAATTTATGGAAATATCTGGTATAATCCAGAGGAGATGCCTTTTTTTCCAGCTTTGCGCATCAATAGAATAATCAAGGCTTTAAAACAGACTCTGCCTCCCCCATTACCTCAGGCAAAAGATTTCCTGAAAGCATGCCTTCAGGGCACCTGAATTATATAAACCATTAGCAGAGGAAAGGCTTTCCACATTCCCTCTGAAACACTCACCCCTACCTTTTTCCTGTCTCCCTCTTTTTCTCTCTCTCTCTCTCTCTCATCTAGCAAAGCACCTACACTTGAGCCAGAGGTTTAAGTGAAGACTTATGTAGATGCGAAGGCGAAAGCTTAAAAGCGAGGAGGGGGTCCTCCATCAATCTGCAGAAAGTGGCCGGCCTCAAATAACGGGTTTCTGTTACATCATTAGCTCAGTCCATAGAAAACACACACACATAGATGCATACATACAGACATACACAAGACACAAATATACACAGACAGAGACCAAACACACACACACACACACAGTCCAAAAACACACACAGTCAATCCAGACAAACACACAGACCAGACACACACACACACAAACACAGACAATCCAGACAAACACACACACAGTCCAGACAAATACACATACACAGTTCAGACGCACACAGACAATCTAGATGTGCACACACACACGCTCTCAGTCACACTCACGCGCACACACACAGTCAGACACACACACTGGGTCCTCTGGTGTTGAGAGAAAAGTCTTCTTTTAAATCAAAGAAAAATAGAAACGCCGATAAAAACTCTGATGCAACTCCTCCACAGTTAAAAGATTAAGATGACGTACGATATTTTTATCTTTCCCCACAAGAAGACATTACAGCAAATTGTTTGTAATCTTCCCGCCCAGCTATCTCGAGGGCGGCTCATTTGGTTTTCATTTCTATAAATATCTACATGTGGGAAAATCTCCTCTGCTAATTTTCTGGTCTGCACTGACCCCTGCGAGCTGATAAACCTGGGAGGAAAGTCTAGGCATCAATTTTATCGGCGTTTCCATTTTCTCCGTAATTTGATATCATCAATCACCTTGGTGAGGTCTAAGGCTAATTTCTCTCTTTCTACCCCCTTCCCCCTCTCATTCTTTCGCCCCTCTCACTTCCATCTCTCCCCCACCTCCCACCTCCATCTCTTTCCCCCTCTTTCTCTCCCTCTCAGGGCCTCCAAATCCTCCTATCGTCCTCTCCCCATCTCACCTCCTCCTCACCCCTTTCCGATCCTCCTTTCCTCCTCTCCCTTCTCTCGCTTCTCCCCTCCCTTCTCTCCCCTCCTTAGGAATGTAGGAATTGCTGGACGAAACAACAGACCAAAGGGCCATCCAGTTCATCGTCTACCATCCTGGGCATCACACGCTACAATAATGGAGACGTTCATAGAAATTTTCCCCCTCTCTCCTCCTCT